ACCCATATTTGCCCAGAGCATTCTTTCTTGTTGCATTTGCATTATTTGCTACTTCAAGTCCTTGTTCATTTATTTACTGATCAGCTTAGGTGGCCAGGCAATTACAGTAACAGACAAACTTGTAATGTGCAGTAAATACTGTATTATGAGGTACGAGGTATTGCCACATGGGCTCAGACCCTGATCCAATATCCAGTGTTCAGGAGACTTCATCGGCCTCAACACATTGTTCACCGATTCTTTACTTTCACTGGAATTTAAAGACAAATCACTCAATTAAAATTCAAGTGATGTACGTGGCTGGCATGGACAAAAGACAGCAATTCTTGTAGGTATTGAATGCTCTACACCACCACACATTTTTGATCTTGAAGCTCATGACACAAAGTCGTTGCTGGTAACATCTACTTTTCCTCAGGTGAATGAATAACGTGTTTTACCAACTTTAATGTTACGTTGATGCAGAAATAATAGTATTTTTAAGCAGTGCAAGAACTTAAAGGGAAAAACATTTGGCAATAATACACTGTTTGAAGTCATGGTACATTTCAATTGGCACCACTGACTTCAGTGGAAAAACTTCAGCTTTTTGGGTCTTCCTGTGTGGCCCTGAAGAAGTCACTTGACCTTTCTGTAAGGAAGACTCAAGTATGTCTAGGGCTTTCCTAACCTGTCCTTGTAATTGTCTGTCCACATTTGTCATTACATCAACACAAAGGAAGACAGAGGCTGATTGGGCAAGATGGAGCAGAGGGAATGGGAAGGATCAGAACAATCTTAATGCCTTAGTGCCCCCGGTCCTCCTAAAGTGAGTGCTCAAATTCTCAAGTTACAAAATAAGTGGCAAAAGCCAGACTCCTGGGATTCATTTTTCTTTTGTGAATGCTCTCATCTGTAGGGTGTATACATGTAACTGCTGGAGCAATGGGAGAACTTGTTTTCACTCTTGACAACAGCTACGTTTTCAGGTTTTGGTGTGTACTTGCCCAGATTTTAGGCTTTCTTTTACTTAAATCTGGATCCCCAAAAAGCTCTTGACATGATGGAAGTACTCGCAGACACCTCAAGTTAATTATGACTAGCAGGTTTATGTGTTGACAAGTAAATGCTAGAAAATAGATGGCCTGGATATCTGTCTGGGACGTTTTTACATAATTGTGTGGGGTTAGTTACTAAATTTACTAAGCTGGGATCGCTTTAGGTGAGATTAAGGTAGCCTGGATACTACTCATGGCTTTTAGTTTGCTCTTGTTACTCACAAATGGTACAGAGGAAGCTTTTAGCTGAGAAATCAAATGAAATGGTGCATAAGTTTTTGGTGTAGGATGCTGAGGTACTGTTTTAATATTTTAGGAAAGGTTACCAAGGCAGCAGATGGAGTAGCTGTACTGTTTAAAGAGAAAGGAGATGAAAATAAAACTGACAGTCTGGGCAATTTAATTGGGGAAATAACAATAAATACTCTTGAACTGAAGTTGGATCAGGTGTGGGAAAATTCTCCTCAGGCTGCTCCATTTTTGGCGGGTATTTATCACAGTAAGAGCAAAATGTCTCTTCCTGTGAGTTGGCTAAGCAAAAGAGAGCCGCTACTCTGGCTGAAGTAGCCATTAATGAGAAAATTATGTCTTGAACCTCTGATGCATTTGAAAAGCGAGAGAACTTTTCCTTCCCGTTGACAGACTGGAAGTCAGTTGAGAATTAAATGTGCAGGAAAAAAGATTAATGTCCTGAACCTGCACATGTTGTTATGCAAGTAGACTATGTCTCTGATGCTGACCTCTGTTAAAATCCCCAGCTTTCCTGAGGACAAGCAATTGAAATGTTGCACATCTAATTCTGTTCTTTTCCCCTTGATACCTCTCACTTTCCATATGCTTTATTTCTACATCCCAGCCTAACACTGGAACAGTCTCTCACACTCCAGTCTGTTGGTCTTTCCCCTGGAACCAAGACCCCTTAATTTCTTGAAAGGTGTAGCACCTTCCTCTTGTACTCTCTATCTTACCTGACCCCCTAGAAGACATTTAGAATAGAATTCATTTATTTCAACAGCGTTCTAAATTGCCCAGGTTTCAAATCATCTTGAAAAAGAAGGAATGATTAAAAACCCAGCTTGTCACCTTTTCACGTGCTCCAGTTAATATTTTCCTCCCTCTGTTTTGCCTACAAACTCCCTGGTTATATTCTTGCTTGCACTGCCTTGACCTCTTTTTGTCTAGCTGCTTTACATCCCCAGAAATCTCATTCCTGCCATTCCTGCAGTGGCAGAGGTGTTGCCAGCATCACCAGTGAACTCCTTCTACCTTGCTCACCTTTTCCTAACCAGCTCTGTATTTACCAATCTGAATATACTTATTACTACTTGATTTTCTCCCTTTTCAGGGCTCTCTTTGAACTTTGGTGTTTTTCTCACCTCATTCCTCAGAACCAGGCAGGATGGACCAGACAACCACAGAAGCAGAGGAGTATAAAAAAAAAAGAGGGATCAAGGAAGGTACTGAGAGATATTGGCAGTGACTGAAAGAAGAAAAAGCCAGAGCCCTTTCTGCTCATAGGTGCTCCTCCTGTGTGAGCTGCCCTTTATCTGCTCTCTCCTCCCTCACTGTGTGCTGCACTGGGCTCTCCCCCCGTCTCCCTGGTCACCTTTACAGTCTACTCTCACAACATGCTTGAACCATGAGGCTTATCAGTGACTACTTGAAAGCCCTAGAGACATATTTAGAGAGAAAACAGATATTAACTGCTCCATGGGTCTTCACATAGCACCTGAAAACCATTGCACTTCCAGGGAAAGCTGGTGAAAGGCTGGCATTTTAAGCACATATGTTTTCCAAATGCCTTCACTATCCATGTCTGCCATATCCCTCTGTGGTGTCTTTAGCACAAGATGTACAGAGGAAAGTCTGATTTATGTATATGGACACTGAACTCCTGCTGAAAGTAGATCTGTGTGGGTTCTCATATGAAGGAAGGACAAAACAAGGATGTATTTATAGGGGGAAAAACAAACAAACAACACAATAAAATAAAATAAAATAAAATAAAATAAAATAAAATAAAATAAAATAAAATAAAAACAGCCTAAGAAATAAGAAAAGAAAATAAAGGATAAAAAATGGTGACCTCTGAGTTCTGGGAAAAGCTTGGCTATTCAGAGCATCAGATGGGAACAGTCCATCAAGCTAGATATTAAACAAGTGTAAACATGATCTGAAATACTTTAAAACTTAGCCCCGATATTTCTCTAGTTTCTTCAAGAGTACAAGAAACAGCAGTAGAATGGGATAGATTAGACACTGCGACTGAAAGGAGGTAAAAAAGCTACCAACAGTTTTACACTGTGCTGGTAATTATTAAAAGATCACGAGCTTATTGTCCAGGCCTGGTTCATGTCGGCGCACACAGGCCTCATCTTTGTGAGGTATCCGTTCAGATCAAAAGCTTCTTTGTGGATCCAGAAAATGCATGTGAAGGGATGGGCAATGACCTAGTATGTAAAGGGACAGGCTAGATTTTTTTCCAATATAAAGACATTTACATTAATATCATATCATCATAACTAAGTCACCTAAGGGTAAAGTTTTCCATATATTTTTTTCCTAACATAATACCTAGGCACACATTCCCTGGGGCAATGGAAGATTAGTTTCCTCAGTACTACAGACCGATGCAGTGTGTGCTCACAGGATGATAGTGTGGCCACATTTACTTTTAGACCAAGGCTGCATCTGGACTTGGCAAGAACTAGAAGCACTTTAAAACAGATGCAGATCAACCATCAAATGAACATTTCTTGTAATTCCCCAAAGCAGTATCAGATATGTGGGTATGGGTCAGCTCCGATCAGTAGTTTTACTGATGCATCTTTTCCAGGGTCATAGCAGCAGATTCCTCCCAGCTACAACCATCCTGTAGCTTAAGGTGTGCATGCAAGCACAGCCAATGCCCCTCGCAGTGTTATGCTAGCTGTTCGTGTTCAGCATGTCCAATTAATATTCTCGTACTATACAAAACACAGGAGCACAGGATAGAGCTACCTGATCTAGTGTCAGCTTTCACTGGGACAGCCACAGAGTGTCACGCAGAACCATCTAGAGATACTAGCTTAGCTCACAACTCAGTGTGGTTTCTCCAGAGTGGTGTTAAACATGAATCACTAAGTCCTGCCTCATGGCAGAGCTGATAAGTTTGTATGGAGGTGTTTAAGAATTAACCGGACAAATCCCTAAGTAACCTGATCTAATTAGGCCTCCTTTGAGCTGGGTGTTTGACCAGGTGACCTCCAGAGGTCCCTTCCAACCTAAATTATTGTATGAGTTGATGCCAATGCACCTATATTGCATCCAGTCCCAGTAATAGTGCCACCTCTATAATACGCTCCTCCAAAAAGTGCTAGGACTGCCCTTAGATCAAAGAGAAAAAATTGCATGGGTGTATTGTGGGCTAGCTCTCTAAATCCAAGGGAGTCAGTGGTGCTTTATGCTGTTCCTGAGACAGCTACAGCAAAACTGACTTTGTCATGTACATATGCTACAATTTCTCCTCCAGGTATGCAGTGTGCATGGTCTGAGTAATTCTCTGATACTCAGAGAAACGAGAAAAATTCAGGTTCTTGGTGTAAGTAAGAGAGCACGAGTATTTGATCCTGGTCTGTGAAAAGAGCACCTCATTTGCCAGAGATACAAAAGCAGCACAGTACTTCCACATTTAGAACTTGCTAGTTTCTTTACATAATGCTTCAATAAATAAGATGATTGCAGTGAAAGGATTACTCATGTCTGTTTTCTCAAGTGTGGCCCAGGTCTGTGGATGGAGTGTCAGCAAGGAGCAGTTCTCCGACAAGCAAACATGCTGGCGGTGTTTAGAAACTCCCTTAGAGACACGGGTCCTTTGTTTAATTTCTCACTCCACAACATGACAAAGAGGAAGAATTTAGGTGGAGCTGATTATAAAGGAGGGAAAACATATCATAATCTTCCTTCAGTTGGTATCCTGGGGACATGAAGGACAGGGTCATAAAGACGATGAAGAGCACAGTCCTTCTCTTCATTTTGCTGGGAGTAGTATCTGGTAAGAACATGATTTCATTACGCAGCTAAAATTAGAACACTGTTGGCTGTTGTACTTTCTCTTGGGAGCTTTATAATACATATTTAAGGATCAGACACGGATGGAAAAAATCAAGTAACAATTATTTTTCTACTGAAATAGATTGAGCTCTGTGGTTACAGCAGTATAATGAAGAGAATATGACCTCTCAGTAAGACGCTTGGCTGGAAGAGGCACTTCAGTGTGTAATAGCCACTGCTCAGTAAGAAAGTGTTGGAATGGGAAAGGAGATCAGTTCTGCAAGAGACAATATCTATTAACAATACTGCAGTATTCTCCTTTCAAATATTGATAACATTTCTATCTGATGAAGTAAAATAAGCAACCAAACAGAAAAAACACAGGTAGAGGTTATTAGGAGGGTGTCAGTATTTTTGCCCAGGATAAAAACATGGAAGTTTTGCCAATATGAATACGTACATGTTAGCAACTTAAAGTAGATCTTCAAATATCAATCTGTGTGGCTGATGGAGTTGCTTGTAGCAAGCTATCTGCCCAGGTAGAATCACTTTGCTTTCAAGGAACTAAATTCTTCCAGACCTCAGAAACGTGTCAGTATTTGGTGTTTTAGCTTTATGACCCCCAAACTGTAATCAGGACGCTGCATGTGAATCTCAATGTTTCTTGAAGAATGGTGTTTTTTTGATGTGCATGGTTGCAGAGAAAGAAAAGCTTGATGACGTGACTCAGGCTAACAAATCACACATAAATAAGACTTGAACATACATATACATCTCAAAGCCAACTTGTTTTGGGCTTAGAAATTGTTAATGTTTGGGGCTGGTAATTCAGATATATAATTTATTACATTTCTTCAGGCATGGTTCGTCCTCTGAAGTAAAGGGGTAACCAAGGACTTGTGAATACAGAAGGAAGGCTTTTGTAAAATCAGTTGGAAGAAGAAGACGCCATTTAGATACAGGGTGGAAAATTTCAGTTAAAAAAAATAAAGAACAAATAGTGAGAGCTTATGATTTAGAAAGACAAATCCTGAATAAACTGCCAAGAAAATCTTCAGAGATAATATGAAAATAGCAACTCTCTTCTTTCTTCATTTCTAAATGTTGTAAATGATTTCATTGATTTTATAAATGGTTTCCATTAATGAACTCTGGCTTGCTGTCAGTAGCAAGTTCAATGTTCAGCTCCACTTGTGGAAATGTATCCCCAGAAGGCCCTCTCAGCTCAGTCTCATTTGCATGGTCGATTTCTGTTGATGATGTTTTCCAGAATCTTTAAGAACATTGATAAACGCTTAGTCCTTCTCTGGGACTTGTGAAGAAGGGGAAACAGGACTCAATGCTTTGTTTTAGGGATTCATCTACTGTTATTACTTTTGCTTTTTATGAAGCAAAGGCACTAATATCCTAAGTCTTTGATCCTATGGGGAACATTATTTGAGAGTCCAGTAAAAGGAGCAATGGCTAACACACAGAAACAGATCATATGTGATCTGTCCCTAAAATGCTCCAAAATGTTGCTAGTGAATCAAAGAAACAAGATTTGGGATGGTTTGGGGCAAAAATCACCGAGGCTTCTTCTAAAGTCATTGAAAGCACTGGAGCTGAACTGTCCCCTTCTAGATTAAAGATCCTGATGATCTTGGAGCAGTGGCAATTTTAATGCCTCTTTGGGAACTGATGTGAACTATCCTTCCCCAGCCATATAAGAAGAGGAAAGAGGGAAGTGGTTCCATCCTACCAGTGGCGAAGGCAAATAGTGTAGTGCACAGGAGCCCATTTCCCTTTGGCGTCCTTGAGCTCCATTCTGAACCTGAGCATCCAAGTGTGGCTGTGCTGCAGCCCTGATGGCCTCAGAATAGTTCCTCTAGCAGCGTTTTACCTTGCAGCTGCCCAACAAAAATACAGGCTTTGTGAAGCTTTGCTACAGTAAATGCTGTGGTATGAACAGCCTGGCCCTCGAGTGAAGAGTATCTCCCGCTGTCTTGGCACAGGCTGTGTGGAAAGTTTTACCGAAGGCAGCTAGCTCCCTTGGCATGTGGTTTGGACAGGCCAGCAAAGCCCTCCAAGCAACATCCAGTCCTGCCGTGGTCTCCTGTTGAGGCCAGTTTAGGGATATGAGGGTACTAAGATGTTGTTTCAGGGCATGCCCTAAAAGCTGACCTCATTTATATTTCCTACGCACTCTTCAGGAGATAAAGCGCCACAGGCCCCTGTTAAAATAACACAAAAATACCCATGATAAACATCAGAGCGAGCACAGATTTTGTCTCGGGGAGTGGGGAGGCCTGACGGAGTAGCAGGGAGTTCACACGAGGCCACGGGATGCCACAGCCTGGCTGCAGCCAGGCGGTTGTGAACCACGGGGTGCCTTTGTGGGCCCTGGGGAATGAACGGCTGCCCGTCCGTGCTCGGAGCAGAAGAGAAACCAGCACAGCCCCCAGAGATGCTGCTTACACAACTCACCAGCCGGGCCTGCACACAGCATGCCAGAGAGACTAAGGAAAGGGAAACGGAGGAAGTGGGTGCTGCAGGTGGCGTGGCTCACGGTGAAGATTGCTTCTTTAACATCCTGGCCTGTGTGGTTCAAGGTGCTTTTTGGTGCCATTAGTGCACAGAGGCAGCAGTTAGCTAGAATGGAGGGTGAAATGAAATAATAGAAACAAACACTGTTTCTTTCCTACTAAATGAAGGCATATATGTAGGCAAACAACACAGCAACAATACTACTTAAACATCAGCACCCTAAGCGACAGTAGTATAGTGCTGAATTAGAGATGCCTTCTTTTGCCATTAGCGCTGGATTTACTACAGTGCAATGCCACCATTCATAAGCAAAAAGAGAATCAGGCCATTTTGTGCTCATTAATGGCATCTCCTGGCACCAGCTGTGCACTCCTGCTAGCCTAAGACTCCCCGAAGTAATTTCTCATTCATTTTCATCTTGCAGGAAGAAGAATCCAGTTGTTTAGGGGCTTACCTGCAACAGGCACTGTTGAAGAAAATTCTCCAGCTGGTGTTTCCGTTCACACCTTTAATGTCACCCTTTCTCCACTGTCTTCTGAAGGTGTTGCAATACATCCTACCATACTAAATTCAAATCCACTTACAGAAGCATTTGATATTGAATCCACAGGAGATCTTGTATACAGGGTGAGTTTTACATTTAGCTTGAGCAATGCTCCGTCCTGGAGGCTGATGGTTCCTGGATTACTGAGAACTGACAGAGCACAGTGACTCATCTTTTAATCAGAGGAGTTGCAAATGCAGACCGCTGTACTATTTGGACATGCTGTAATAGATATGACAAATGAGTAGCAATAGTGATTACGATTTTAATTGCATCTAGGCAAAAACTGCTTATCACAATAATTCTGTTTATTCTGGGATCGAAAACATGATTTTCTAGAAAGTCTGAGGTAAAGAAGGACATGTAGGACCTGATTCTGTTTTGAGGTTTTATCCATAGTTTTTCAACTTAATTAATATGAAGTCACTGTGAATTTAAAGTGGATTATTTAAACCACATGCAGCTCTTACTTGGACACTCTCACCTCGAATTAAAATGAATTTGACTCACTTCCAAAACAAAGTAAGCTGAGTCAGATCAAAGCCAAGTTTAACTCGGAATGAGGGCTGTGACATATGAGGAAGTTACCTTGAGGTATGAAGTTATCACAGTTCCACACATCTGTGATCTATTTCCATCTATTGCGTACTCTTGTCCTGTGGAAAATGCAAAGTAATTTTGGTTGTTTCAGGCTAGTTTTTCTTGCTGGATAAATTAGCAAGTATTACCTCACATTTGTCACTGGCAGTGAGTGTTCAGATGCATGATAACTTGTCATCCCGTTGCAACTCACTTGTATGCCTGTGCCTGAACAACGACACTCAAGAGCACCTTTGAATCCACTTTTCTGGAAGTTTCCAAGGAAATTCAGGTTTTCACAGAATTGATACAAGGGCCCTTTTCTATTTCTCTTTGCTGATGTTTCTGGGAGAAAATGTAGGGGGAGTAAGACCATGAACCCGGGTGTCTGCAGCTCATGGATTGACGCAAGGCACGGTAGCTCCTTCCAGGCTTTCTCCTCCCCAAACTGTCCCTTATACAAGAGGTCCTTGAGTTGCTCTGTGAGGCCACAATATTTTGGTCTTTCCATTCTCTTTTTACTCACATTTCAGCCAGTGGCAAGGGTTGTGCCAGCAATCAGCATATAATCTAAAATACTCACTGCTTACTGATGGAAAATGTCCATCAAACTGGTATTCTCTCCTATAGATTATAAATTACATCTCTTTCATAATGTGCTAATCATATTTTTATTTTCTCTTTTCAGGTTGTTACCAGTGGAAACCCTGTCCTAGATTATGAAACAATGCCAAAGCGCTTTGATTTACAGATTTTTGTTGAAGATACAACTGGGAGAACTGACCTTAGTACACTGACTATCCAAGTAGTAGATAAAAATGAACCTCCTGTGTTTCGAGGAAATATGGCAATTCAAAGTAAGATGGTAGAGTCACTTGAAAAGAACAATACTGAAAAAGCTGACATCACTTACAAAACAGAACTGCATACAGTGACAGTGGTTAAAGTGGTCTAAGTGTTTTCCTTTAGAAAATCAAGGGAGGAACAAGGTGATGTTTTTACCAAAGCTTTATTTTACACAAATATTTGGTATACTTAATCTCCGGAGATGCCCTTCTGTTTTCTTAAAGTTTTGACCAAAAGTGATGGAACCATTTAAAAACGTTTGAAAAAAAAAAAAAAATATATATATATATATACATATATATATATATATATATATATAAACATACACACACATAAACACAGGCTTATTTATATCAGTAGATATATACACTATTTTTGATGTGAAGTGACACTGAGGTATATATTGGAAACATGAAGTTTGGTGGGGATGTAACCAGTATACTGTGGGTCCATGTTTCAGTAGTTTGTTGAAACTGGACTGATTTGGAGAAGCAAGATAAATTTAAATAAATGTATGTTTTGTATATGCAAGAGTTTCTTGGGGAGAAAAACAAAGACAGCAATCTGCCAGTGTTTTATACCTGTGTATCACATTTGCACCTGCATGTGAAAATTAAGTGGAAAATCATTCTGAAGAATGAGATCTCCTAGATTGTGATTTATGGTGGTGTAAATGGAAAAAGGCAAAAAATTGTCTCCTGCCTGTGGCAGATGGCAGTAAACCTGGCTACCTTTTGGGCTTACCTGAAACCAGTTTTTCTTTCAGACCACATGCAAGGTGCAACAGGGAGAAGTCTGCAATAGCATTAGCAACGAGGCTGGGGTGTCTGAACTCATAACAGCACCTAGGCAAGAACATTCAGTAATTCAACGCTCAACATTTTTTTTTTTTCTATTTGAGAATAGCAAGCTATGGTCTGTTCGTGGTAGGCATTTGTAAGTGGCTGCTGAACCCTGTAGATCTGGAAAGCAGTGGTATTATTTAGGCTGATGGCTTGCAGCTCCTGGAATGGTCAGCAGAGCAGTGTGGCTGCAGCCTAGCCATCCAGTGCTGCAGAGGGCAGGGCTTGCTGCAGGGATGGATTTAGCACAGCCGTGCTCAAATCAGCCCGCTCACTAATGCCTCCTGAGCATGTTGACGTTCCCACTTCCATACAATACTTAGTTTGTAAAGCAAATTAGCTTCCCTGAGGGAAAAGGCCGCGTCATCTTCTCGGTGTCAAGGGTGTCTTGCATATCATGGGTGCTGCTGGAATCTAATAATAATTAAACGTGACACTTCAGGGATCGGCACAGCATGAAGCACACTCTACGTGGGAGCTTGTTACAAATCAGTGCATCAGCTTAACTCTCAGCTAGAGCTGCCATAAATTGGTGAGCACAGATGTCTGATCTGTCTAACTGCGTGGCTTTAGTTAACAGTACCAGCCACAATTAGACGCTAATTGCACATTCGTTGGTTATTAAAAAGCATCTCCCTCTCATTAAACTTTATATTCATATTGTTGTCCTCTGGGAACAACTCATTACACTGCTCTGGGATTCCCACTGCTCTGATGAGAAGCAGCAGTCAGCAGGGGTCACAGTGGAAATTAATAGTCCAGAAACGCCAGGTCCAGCAGACACAAAAGGGCAGAAAGCAAATAATGGGATCTAAAGATCTGTTGTTTTGCTAATCACTCTGGCCAAGGAGAGCTAAGCCTGTTGCCTGTGGCCCAGTATGGGATAGCACAGTTGTGAGAGCTCCTGACAGAGAAAGGAGCTCTCACAACACTCCTTGCACAGAATTAACACCCTTAATAAGGCAAAAGTTCAAGCGCAGAGCATCCACTATTTATTTACCTCACAGATGTAAAGAAAAAGCATAAAAGATGAAGAAAAGCTCTGAGGTCTCCTGGCAGGGGACAAGGGTGGTTGTAGAGGGGATGGGAACATAGCACGGAGCTATGTTCTCCTCTCTGCATGGTAAAGGCAGACACATGTGTACTCCATACCCCACTGAGCAGCTCAGGGAAGACCTGATGTATAGATCAGCCTCCCTAAGGCATAATTCAGATTGCATCTATCAGTGATGGTTTTCTGTTTACAGATAAGCATTTTTCCTTTTAATCTTTTGAGTGTTTTCTTCACATTTCCTGTGATGATTTTGGAATTACACCGGTGAAGTGAGAATACACAGCAGTCAGTAATATGCCTGTACAGCTTTAATTTATCAGTATGTTTGCTGTTGTGTCCTTTATTCTTAACCAATTAACACTTAGTACACTTATATCTGTGCAGCTGTAACTATCTACATCTTGGAAGGTACACGGCCTGAACGCATTTACCAAGTTTATGCAGCTGATCCTGAAAATGGTGGACTCAAAGTAAGTTGAAAAAAAACAACCAGAGATGATATTATTGACTGTTTCTGAAATGCTTATTGCTAGCATCTTTCAACAATGCACTTCATCGTCAGGAACACAGGAAAAGGTTTTGTCAGGAAAAAAGAACCATTTTCAATAATAAATTGAGAAAACCCAGCCTCAACATTTGGGCTCAAATTGTATTTTGATTTCTCAGCACTCCAAAATTAAGGGGTATTGAAGGCAGAATTTGATATAGTTAATCAGAGATACAGTAGAAATCATGTCTCTCTTTACAAAAAAATAGCTTGCAAAACATTTTTAGTAGATGGGAGTGATTAAATGTAAGTAAAGTTTTTAATATTGTGTCACAGTGTAAATTCTTTCAAATGAGACGGTAAGGAAACTGCTTGCAAGGCAACTGAATCTCATTTTTGTGACAATCTTAGGGCAAACTGTGACCCCCAGTTAAGAAAATGGATTAGCAGATCTGAAAATACTCTTGATATCAGCAACATTCCTGGAAAGTGATAACTTTGTTTGCAGAAAGGAGAAAAGTAACTGCACTAACCTAAGAACCATTTTGTAGCTTTGCTTTGTTGATTTTTGTGTTATAACAGACAGCATGTACAAGAACAGAACCTGAAGATGTTAATTCCATGTGTAGCATTATTCAGGAGAGCAATTACCTTGACATCCATCCTCAGGCTTTACCCAGCCAAACCACCAAGCCCCCGTGGGCTGGTGAGGAGGGAAGCAGAGGCGAGGGGATGTATCTCGTGCACTGGTACTGTTACGGTACCCATTTGTGTTGTGCAACTGCACAAAGCATCTAAAGCTACATGCAGATGCTGACCACTGTGCGAACACTGAGCTCACACTCCCTCAAGCACCCCATGAAAGTCCACTTACCCTTCCCCAGCCTCTTCCCTTGCCTGACCCCCCAGACTTCATTGCCTCCTGCACAGCTCTTCTTTAGTCTCCCAAATCCAGCCCCAGCCCTTCTCTCTCCTCCTGCATGGAGGTACTCTGCTGCCACCCCAAAAATGATTTTGCCAGCTGTGTTGTGGCTCTGACCTCTATGTTAAATTCCCGTTGCAGGTCTGGGATAGTAGGAGACACTGTACCTTGGCCCCTTCTACAAGGCAAGGCAAGAACAGAGGGATGCTTTAACAAAAGGATACAAAAACTAATGCACTGTGCTCTTCATTTCAGTATTCCTCGCTTCCTGCATCAGTGCCATTCCTGGTCTTGGAAAATGGAAGCATTTATTCCAAAAAAGTATTTGATTATGAGAAAGATCCACATTGGTGAGAATTTATTTAATTCATGTGCTCTTTTTATTAGCTTACAGTAGGCAATGTTTTCATACGTAGCCATGGAATGATTATTGTTTTGTTTTCTTATTTAACAGGTACTTTTTAAATATAACAGTGACAGATCCAGAAGGACTCAACTCCACTAAAACAGTGAATATAAATATAATTAACATCGATGATGAAAGACCTTACTTTACCACGTGAGTGAAAAACTTCCATTGTAATGAAAATGTAGATGTTTTCCCAGCCTAACTGCCCTGGCACCAATGGGAGGGCATAACACAGGGCAAGCTAATGTAACAACACAGTACTACTGAAAACTGTATTTTCATTTTGTCATGAATCCTGTTGTTTTGCTGAGAAGTTTGCTCTAGTTTCCCTTTTTTATTCTTATTTATATTTTTAACAGTTTTAAGTTTTCCAGGTTCTGCCCTCGTGCTAAAAGCAACCAAACAAGCTTGTTGTGCTTGTAAGCGTTTAGAGAGGTTAAAGCTATGCAAAGACCTGTGGACAAGTTCAGACAAAGACATGAGTTTTACTCTGTGTGAATACAATCATACAGAGTTTACCCTTCATGCAGATGTGCATTTCACCATAATGATGTTTATTCATGCAGAAATGTCTAGACATAAAAAGGTCTCACTTTTGATCTGTCTTTTCCTCTTCTTCCCAGACACTTACACTTGTAAATGATCCCAGTGCTGTTTGAAACGTTGCCATCTCTTACTGTGTCATAAGCAGGAAATTGTTGTGTCATAACACACAAGTCAGAAATAGCTTTTGAAAATTAATGGAGCTCTAGCTGGAAGCAGGAGCATTGTTGAAAATTTGCAAAATGGGAGAGAATATCCATATGCTACTAGAAGGCTATTGTGTGGTGGAAAGTACAATGGGTGATTGTTTCTGAAGTTGGAGCCTGACAAATGCAGTTCTTACAGGGTTAGTCTGATTACGTTCTTGATTTAGCTTCGTCACTTTGCATGAGGCACTGACTGGATTCTGGACACTCTCTTTACCTCTCCTGATACTGAAGCTTTACAAGGTCCCTGCCAAGAATATTTATGGTGGGTTCTCTCCTGATATCTATGCAAAGAGGGAGAAGACAGTGCAGCACCTGGGCACGCCAAGAGGTCTCCAGCCACTTGTTTGGAGCAGTCTTCTGGCTGCCTTGTGGGGCCTGAGCAATGCACAGCTCCTGGGCTGAGGCCAAGGAGCTGGACAGTGCTGGGTAAAGGGGTGGAGAATCTGAAGAACTGGAAGAATAAAATATTAGAAACAGACACGGATTTTTTGTTGTTGTTGGTACTTATTTATGACTTGAATTTCATGCATGCAGTAAGCAGTAGGGTTAACAGCTCTCTCCACATTACTGTACTGATACAAGCAGGAGGAATCCACCTCCCAGGCCCAAAGCCTGCATGGTTTGTTCTAGACTATTTTCTCCAAATGTTGCCCTTTCTGTTTATTTATCCTTATGTCTGGAATGCTGAAGGAGCTCTTTTAAATATTTATCTATTTGTTCAAGATAACGAAAGCTTCAGTGACTGGAGTATCCCTAACACCTCACGTCTAAGGCTAAGATGTAGTATGGCACAAATAAAGCTTGGTATTTGTTTGAATCTTTTCCGCTTTAGATTGACACTACAGTCCAAAAATAGAAGCTCGGTTTGTAAAGAGCTTGAGATTAAATTGCACTTCATGAGCTGTCCTCACTGTGCACATGCATGCCCTCTCCCCTGCTAAAATGTGAGCTACATGCTGGGACTATGCATTTTCTGACACTATAATAATTAGTGCTGGGATGGAAGCTGGGGAAACTTGACAAGTTAGAAAACCTTCTTTATTTTCTCCTGATCAAAGCTGTCAAGAACAGAGTTTCAAAGGGCCTTTTTAATTGTTCTCACAGTATATGTAGGCACATCTGTTTTTGGTGTTCACAACACTCCATCGGCATTTCAGCCTTTTGAAATTCTGGATGTTAAAATCAATGGAAAACTCATGGAGCGAGGAAAACAAAGGAGGAGACAAGAAAACAAACATATGCTTCCTTCACAATTATACTGTGGCGTCCAAAAGGTCTGCTTGAACCATACTGTAAAATACCACGGGCAGGCGGCAGGTAGATCAGCAGGACACAGCCCAGATGTAGCTGTGTAGAGGAGGCCCCAGCTCCACAAGCACTCTGTGCAATGAGTCTGGGCAGGGCTGGTAGTTCTAGCTGTCTCACCAAAACCAGCGAGAGCTGTCCCTCCCGTATCCCCACTGATCAGAGAGGAGTTTTCAGGAGGCATTTTTGGTAGCAGTGATGGAGATCTGTTGCTGTTTGTTTTCTTTCTGAGTAACTCCTGAGCAATGGGAGAATAAGGAAGCAATCCAACACCAAGAGTGGGACAGAGCCTTAGTAAGTACACAGACTCCACAGCCTTCACAAACACCTTTTTGTTTGTTGCTGGCTGACCGTTAGGTGTTTTTATTGAGAAAACTCTATGCGATTTGCCTGCTGTATGCTCTCCTCTTTTAACATCAGCTGACAGAACAGCTGAAGTACTGTGTCTTCTTAGCCATTCTTCAAATTGCAAGTGAAGACCTGGAGGCATCAGATCTTCTGCTCTGCCTCTGCAATTCTCTGCTCCAGTTGCTAAATGCCCCATAATGCTGGGTTTCAAAGGAAAACAAAGGGCTCATGTTTTCCTATTGCAGGAACTATAGACTAGTCAATTAGCTACGTGGTGGCTTGGAAAGTTTAAAGTGCACAAAAATGGTTCGGTCTTGAAACATGCTCCTAATGCTTTTCTGAACTGTTGAACACTTTCAACTCCCTCTGACTTTTGTTAGCAGATGTTTTGTGTGTTTGTGTGTTTCAGTGGAATAAATCAGCGCTCATAAAGTCCTTGCAGAGTTTTTGTGTGCTTGCCTACGCCTGCTTTTACATGTGGTTCAAGTACCATAATTGCATACCTGAGTACCCATGTGAACATGCAACTGCAACCATTACAAGCAATCCTGCACGATTGCCTGCCAGACCGTACCTGGGCCATAAAATTCACTCACTTCATGGGAAATCTGGGAGCACTGGCATATCAAACAGCAGCACTAAAGAACCGTTTTCTCCATGTAAAATGAATCAGACAGATGTTGCAGAGAATTTGGAGCAACATCATGAGGACATCTGGGGGACACCCACAGCAGGGCTCCCTCTTGCCCCTGCCTGCTGCAGGGCCAGCTCAAGCTTTTCAGTAATACTGTTGTCCCCCAGATGTCTCCAGCATTCATTCCAAAATACAATTAATTGCATTAGTGCTTCTATTTTTGTTTTTGTCTTGCAGAATGACAGCATGAGATCAAGTGGCTTTACAGGCTGGTGGCTTTACAGGGAGACAAACTGCATGACTTAACAGCCCCTTCCATTTTCAGCTTCCACAGTTCTGTGAAAGTCAAATTGCTTTTCCTGTGACAAGTTGCAGGGGAAGGGAAGGACACTTGGTTGTGTGGCTTTGTCATGCTTTATGCCCACATTCCAGTTCAGCTACTGCTACAGGTCCAGCTGGCAGAACCAGTGACTGGGATATTTACCCTGACATCTCCCAGCCCAGTGTGGCCATGGCTCTGCTGCTACAACTGGCTGCTCGGCTAAGCCTGTGATCAGCTGCTCCTGCAAACACAGACATGCCTTTTTCTGAATTTTGCTTTCTCTTGTAGAAAACAAAGAAACTACAGGATTCCAGAGGAACAAAGCCCAGGGACTGTGGTTGCCAATATAACAGCTAAAGATCCTGATGATGAAGATTCTCCTAGCAGACTTTTCTACAGCATCCAGTCTTCTGTCCCATATTTCTCCATAAATCCATGTAAGACAAAAAAAAAGAAAACAACATATCTTCTAATACACCCCCCGCCACACAGCAAAAAATGATTTTGCCTGAGTTTCTCGGTAGGTTTTTTGGGTCAAGTTTTTCCATCAGCTGAACAGGGTTAAATAAGATATCTTAAAGAAAGTAGACCAAAGGTGACTTATTGACAAATACTGACTGGAGTCAGTATGGCTGGAGGTTGATGATCCCTTGCATGGAAGTGAGATCAGCTGGCTTCTTTTTAATCTGTGGGGATTTTAATCTCTGTGGTCCTTGTGGGGCTCTTGCAACAGCTGCAAGTAGTTAGACCACAATTTGCTCTCTCCTACCTGAAATCTGCTCTAGCACTGAGATGCATGGCAAATCTACACCTCAGCTTCATGGCTCTATTTATGCCCTTCCCCAGGCAAGGCCATTAAAAGGAGTTACCTCTCTTGTGCTGTTTCCAGGTTCTCTGGGGTGCACACACCACTGACCTGAAGATTTTGCTTCTAGGGCTGGCATTCAGTGACTGCTCTGCCCCTCACCTGCTATTGTTTTAGAGCTGCTTATCACAGCTGTAAGAGATACCACGCAGCACAGTGCTATGGGGGATCAAGATGATCTTTCTATGCTTTGGATTCCCTATGCCCTTTGGCCATATGTTGCTACTGCCCCCCTTAATTGCACCCCAAAAGGCAGAGGATATACAAACTGTTCTTCACCTCCTCAGTACTCTAGGAATAGTATTGTGCTCTGCCAGAACAATCTTCTCTTTTTTGGACAGAGGCTAACAAAAGTGAAAAAAAAAAAAACATACACAAAACAATAAATTAATTGCATGGCTGACCAGAACACTTGGCAGAAGCTGAGAGCAGATCTGTTGATGTATGAGTAGATTTAGAGGTGCTGAAGGATGCTTGAATGACAGCAGCAGAAAGTGAAGCCATTTTACTAGATAGAGAACAAGGCATTAGGAGCTCACTGTCCTTGATGGTCTGCAAGTGCACTCAACTCTGACTTGCCCTACCTCTTTGAGAGTGTAAGGGAAATCTGAGGCCTCTGCTGAGGCCACCACTGGTATATTTTTGAGCAATGGTTATTTATCCATGAAAGTCTTACACAGAATTTTCAAGGCCATCGTGTATTGTTTTTAAACATAACTAAACCAGCCATGATTTCCACAGAACAGCAGAATTTTTAGTCTGCCACTTGTCTGATGAGCTCTCCTGTTCTTCCGTGTGTACACCATGAGTTTTGCTGTCTCCCTGAGGGTGAGTATCTAACTTCTGGCTGCTTTCTGCCCAGCAACTGGACTGCTGCAGGTGACCAGGAGAATCGACAGGGATGTCCCTCCCCTGAAGCTCCACCCTAACATCTCAGTGATAGTGCGGGTGGAGGACAGTCCCAGTGGTGGCCACGCCAGTGAAATGGAGATCATCATCACTATTGAAGATATCAATGACAACCCACCAGAATGCTTTCCCTCTACCTTCAGGTATCGAGGCTCTTGTTGCCTGAGTGCCCCCTCATTGCCCCAGCCCAGTGACATGTCTAGGGCACATCATTTAGGGTCCTCAGACCTACAGCTAGATGTTCAAGTGGATATTTAGCATTAGCCTTTGAAGGTTAGTGTTCACTCTAAGTGCTTTAGGACAGAAAGTCCACTTTTCTGACTTGTGCAAAATGAAATTTGGGCTAAAAATATCTCTGTATGGTCAGATACTGTATTTATCTTTCTCTCAGATACCAAATTCATTAGGGTATCAGAGCCGTGTGTTTTACAGAATTACTTTTCTGACCCATACAGATCCAGGCTCCTCCCTTTTTACTTTATGTTAAACTGTGGGGAATCACTCACCAGGGAAAGCTTGCCAGGCAGTTCTGGAGTTTTATTTTGAAATTTCTAAGCTTCTCTTCTGAATCTGTTTCTAGTGGCCTCCATGGTGTTTGTCTCATGCAGTCCATAAGGTCTTCAGAGTCCAGATCACCTCTTGTCTTGTATCCTCTGTGCACATTAATTTAGCCATGGACTTTTGCTGTGGCTCTGAACTCTCTGAGACCCTTGTGATGATCAGCTGGTTTACGTTTGTAGATGAGGATGCGACGTTATCTTCATTTTATAGAAATAATGAGGTCAAAACCGAGCAACAGAAATTGTCCATCTGAAGTGTCTGATGTGCCTGTGCTGCAATCTTTCAGGGTACACAGCGCTGCATAGTGCAGTTCTCAAAGAGTTCAAGTGCACACGTGGTAGTTTGACTGTTCTGCAGGTAAAAATCCAGTGCCTCAAGCCAAGACCCTCTGCAGTGAGGGATTCCTGGTTAATGGGTATCTGTTTAAACTGCTTGCTCACTAGCTAATATAAACGTCTTGCATTTAAATCACGTAGTTTTGTGGACTGGCAGGAAGAGAAATGAATTCTTTAGAGCACTGCTTGGTTACAACATCCATGACAATAACAGAACAGTCTCATTGTTATCCAGTGAGCTCAAACTTTGATCTAAATGAAACAAAAGTTTTGGGGGGAGAAAATGAGATCAACTAAAGAACTACAGTTCTGCACAAGGAAAAAAAAAACATCAGGTCTTAATGACATTATGACATTTAGTTAGTTCTTCAGTGTTTTTTTGTTTTGTTTTGTTTGTTTTTTTTTGTACTTAATCCTCTTGATTAAAAAAAAAATGAAATCAACACCTTCTGTTCTCAATTCCATCATGTGCATCACGGGGACCCTCACTGCCAGCAGCAGGGACAGAAACGCTAGCTTCACAAAGCAGGAAAATGGTCCAGGTATTAGTTAAGGAGAAAAGAATGAGGTTCTCTTCAAAAAAACATAACACACTGAAGAAATGAGTGTTGTAAAGACATTTTAAAATACTAATTAGTAATTGAACTAATTACTAATTAGTAATCTTACTATTAGTAATTAGTAATATTAGTAATCTTACTAATTACTAATTAGTAATCTTGAACGTTAAGATCTCGTGGCAGCTTTTGAAGTGAAGCGGAGTTCCAAGTTTTTGGTTTGGGTCTGGCTAAATGTTTGTGTCCTGCCCATCACACAGGGCTGTTATCCACCACAGCATATGGTTCAGATTCTAGGTTGCTTCATCAGCTGTTGTCTATTTAGATCTAGGATTTCACTTAGAAAATAAATGGAAGTCAATGTTTTGGCATGTAATATATGAAGAGTTCAAGGGGAGAAATATAAGGAGCTCTGATGGGAAACATGTTTCTTTTAAACAGGAAAGAGATAAATGAAAATACAACTGCTGGAACATTTCTTCTTGATCTCAGAAATTACTGTAAAGATATTGATGTTGATGTACCAAACAATCTATTTAATTTCACCGGATTATCTGGTTTTGGAAGCAATAACTTTGCTCTGGAGTCTACTGGGTCCGGAAGACTTGTGGTCAGTCATTTGTGGCTTTATGTTAGATTGTCTCATTAGGAGAGCAACTTATGAAATATCACTAAGTCATTTCTTACTTTGTTGTCTGAAAAAGAAAACAGAATTACTGTAATTCATGTCACAGTGGAGTGAGATGGGGAGAATGGCTGTTTTGACTAGATGTGAGCTACGTACCATTTGGTAGGATGCTTTCTATGGATCCTACAGAATACGGTGAACAGAAAACTGTCTTCTCCCATTTTAAATCAAAGTGCTAGATATGACTGAAAAAAAAAAAGAAAAAGATTTGGGGGTAGTGGTGGTATGAGATACCAGCTTTGAGATAAATAAGCAGAGAAATCTGATGTTGCTTCATACCCATTTATTCATGACAGACCATGGAAGATCTTTGGTCTTCAGCAAGAAGAAGCAAAATACTTGAGAAATCCCAGACATAGGAACTGCTTCCCAGCTTCCTTGGTCAGAATTGTAAAACCACTTTGTGTGATAAAAATTCACCAAAGTGTGGTGGATTTGCACGTGTGTGATTTTGTGTGTCAAAACATGGCTTCCTTATGCTAATAGCTGCTGCAATATTTGCATTTGCCAGAACCCCCACCAGCTGCTGGACAAGTGCAGTGGTGGTTGCTTTGTTAATTTAAAAAGAACCACAGACAAGTACAGAAAAAAGGAGGCATCACAAAAATTAGCGAATACAAAGGCATTCTGCCTAAGAGACAAGGGTGCTACAGGAGCAGTAAAATAATTTTGTATGGTTTACTTTGATTTCTAATCTGAAGTATAAATGTTGATGACCATTGTCCTTATCTGCTTCATCTGCCAACACAAAAAAAGAAGAGAGTTTACTTTGCTGCACAGGACATTATTGTTGTTAGCCTTTCGATTACCACGTTTGTGTAATGTAACAGGTTATCTGAAGTGTCCCATCCCTCCAGGAGTTTCCCTACAGACAATAAACAGTGGATGCCTGTGCTTTAGTGCTTCTACCCCAGAGTTTATGAGGCTCCTGCAGAGAGACAGAGCTCAGGAGATGAGGATTTAAATCTCTGTGTGAGCCACCGCTTGGTAGCTACTTGGTTCCTGGACAAACAGTTGTAGCCGAACCTGATACCTATAATACAGGTCTGCAGGCATGAGCTGAAGGAGTAACTATTGCTATTTAGCAATCACAGATTCCTACTGAGCCAACAAAGGGCACAGCAAATAGCCAGCTCATTAGATACACTTTGAACTAACTAGGTAAGAGGCCAAGACCTTATCCTTCAAACGATACAACTTCCTGCACTTAAGAGGAAGATATTTTGTTGGCAGAAGGAAAGCGTTTTGAATTGCCAAGAGACACCAAATCGTGAACGTAAAGAAAAAGCCTGAAATTCAATCCTGTAATTGATTTATAGCCTGTATTACTCCTGCAGGGCAATTCTACATAGTCAAGAGGGAGACCACACTTACAGAATGCTGAAAAAACTAATTGCCATCATGTGTATTGTGACTTTATGTGTAAAGTGTAAATACAATTGTGTTTCTTTTTAATTTAGATGACTGGAAGTATTGATTTAGAAAACCCAGCTAATCTAGGAGTTGAAGTTTATTCTTTGACTGTCAGAGTGCGAGATATTGCCTCTCCTCACTACTCAAGCAAGTATCCCTTTTACACTTTTTTGATATTTTCCTGTGCTGTAACAGCATGGAGAGAGGAATACCATATGTATTTTGAATATATGCATGAGAAAATTTCACAGCCATACTTAACTATGATTTAATCTTCTGTTATATTTCCAGACATCATTTACATTTACATCAGGATAAAGCCAGTGAATGATTTTTTCCCAGTCTTCGATAGTTTATCATATGAATTTAATGTTCGAGAAACTACTAAAGGTACAGTAAGTAGCACCTACATGATAGAAATAGTGTTGTCATGCTGACAAATATATTTTTGCTCCAAATGTATTTTCATTTTTTTGAATAAGGAGAACGCCTCAAAGTTCTACTTTGACTGGGGTCTCACAGTACACCACCTAGTAACCCTAAATAGACAAAACTGGCAAGAACTCCAATTGTGCAGATGGAAACTGAGACACAGACAAATTCAGCAATTGCACAAGAAATCTGTGACAGAGCCAGGAACTGAACTCAGATTTCTTGTTTTAGACTGTCTTTCTGCTCTTGCTAAATTAGCCTTTTGGAGGGATCATGATGGTATAAAAAAACAACAACACTGTAGACCATGGCACAGATGAGAGAGCCTTGTCCCAGAGATGGTGTGAGACTGTCACTTCACTGTCCCTTCAGACCCAGCTCACCTCAGGTGCAGCAGGTGTCCTGGATGTGGGGTGGGATAGGGATGCTTGGATGAGGAGCACGTGCTTCACCAGCCAGTGCAGCTCCTCATGCTGGAGACAAGGTCCTGTCCATTCCTACAACAGCCCAGGACCAATTGCTGCAAACGTGGCCTTAAATCTGTTGCAACTGAATTCGAAAAGGTTCATGTGCTTGACTCCCACCTCAGTGCCCTTCCTGCTCCTTGATGAGCCCTGCATTTTAAGTTTGTGGGGCAGCATCTTTCCTTCTTGGTAGTCCTCATATGCCAGATGTGACCACCAGCCTACTCTGTGCTGTACTGTTTGGCATGCAGAGGGGTCGGCACAGGAATGGCATCTTCCCCAGCTTCATCTTCTCCCTCATCTGACCTGATGCATTGGCTTCCTTCTGTAGGCTGAGAATACAATCTGACATCTGTTGGATATAAACTGGATAAATCTTGATCCTCATTCTGGACTTTCCATGGTAACAGAAAAACTGAAGTTGGAAAGGACCTCTGGAGGTCTCAAGTCCAACTCCTGCTCAAACTGGGGCCAGTTTCACAATTAGGCCATGTTGCTCAGGGCCTCATCCAGTCGAGTTTCGAAAATTTCCAACAGTGGAGATACCACAGCCTCTCTAAGCCCTTGCTTCAGCTGACCAACTTTCATTCCAGATAATTTTTCTTTGTACACATTTGGAATTTCATATGTTGCCACCTGTGTCCTTTCCCTGTTCTTTCATGGTTCCCTCCTGAGAACGGTGAATCTCTGTCTTCCCTGTGCCTGACTTTTAGGTAGTGGGGTACAGCAACTAAATTCCACTTTCACTGTTCCTCCTCTGGCCTGCACAACCCCAGTGCCACCAGCCTCTCCTCCTGCCTTCTGGGCTCTGCTCCATGCTGTCTTAATCCCCCCTGGCTTTACTCCAGTTTGTTAGTGTCTCTCCTACCTGGGGCCCCAAACTGGTCTCAGGTCTCCAGTTGTGGCTTTATGAGTGCTGAGGAGAGGGAGTGGTCACTTTTCACCACATCTTGGTAACACACTCATTAATGCAGCCCAGCATGTGGTAGCTCATGAATAACTTGTCCACCAGGGCCTGGGGTCCTGCTTGGTCAGTCCCAGCCTGTGTTGGTGCACGGGCTTGTTTTGGTCCAGGGGTAGGATCTACATTTGTCTGTGCCGAGCTCCTTAAGGCCTGTTGACCTATTGCTCCAGCCTGCCAGGCCCTTCTGAACAGCAGCACGTCCACCACTGCCCCGGGCTGGTATTACTCAGAAACCTGTCCCAATGGCCAACCAACAAGGAAGATGTGCAACTGCATCACACAGCAGGCTTAGATAACTTAGTGTCTGCTTGAACACACCAAATGATTACGGCCAGCACAGGCTCAAAGCACGGGTAAAGGCAGCTGTGCCTGTGGTCAGCAGACCTGTGGGGCTCTGTGGTGTTTTAGTGCCCTGGGGGGACAGGAAAAAAAGCATATTTCAAGCAGCCCTGCTGTCCTGTCCACAACCTCCTCTCCCTTATCATGGGCCAAGGAGCAGGCCCAAATCTCCAGCCCTAACCCTTAGCTCTGTTTTCTTCCTCCCCTGGTCAGGGGGATCCTGCTAAGGGTCTGCAGGCCTGCACAAATCACTCCTGCGTGCCCTCTGAAGAAGCCATCGTTGGTCACTGAAGAATGTGGTGGAAATGCAGCTGGTGTGGGGATGTGCGGCCTGGGACGGAGCTGGGGACACTGGGGAGGCTGAGGGTGACCAGCTCCCAGGGGAGGTCTGCCTGGCAGAGGGACACTGACAGCGCTGGCTCCTGTAAAACAGGAAAACAAGGAGGGCTACGGGAGGAGCAGGAGACACACAGTGGTTGCTCAGCAATTTGGCTGAGCTGGCAAGACCTGAGCCCAGCTGAATCAAGGCTGAATCAAGTCTGCAGAGATGGGTGTGCACAGTCCCAATGTAGTTCCCACAGTTTACAGCACTGTCATTTGTAGCTTGCTTCATAAATGCTCCATGCAGAGGTGATTCAAACCTCCCTTTAAACACCCCAGAAGGAGGAGCAGCGATTATTTCTGAGGGAGGACAAAGAGTCTAGTGCTTGGGCTGCTGCAAGGCAGTAATTTGTGTGTCAGTGCATGGCTCTTGGGTGGCTCTTGCCACCAGAGCACTTTTGCTGTGTTTCTCTACGGACTCCTTGCATTCTGGTATTTATTGCTAGTAGGCAAGCCTATACGTGGGGGAGCCATAACACAACACTGTAAACTGGTATTTCTTACAATTATGTTTTACTTCTTTGGGGTGAAAAATACTCTAAAACAAATGTGTAGTTATGGTTTCATCAAGCTTCTGCAGGAACAAGCAATCTGTACTTCCTTTTCCTCTATGCTTAAAATGTTAGTGAAATATGGGTTTTCTTCCTCTTAGTTGGATCCAGAATTGGAGAAGTGCATGCCAGCGATGCAGACTGGCCACCCAGTGTCATCACTTACTCCATTGTAGCTGGAGGAGGCACCAGAGATTACACAAATATATTCTGGATCAGCCCAACTAATGGAGATGTGAAGATTTTGGCTAGATTAGACTATGAAACAACTCAGAAACACCTTTTCACAGTGCAGGCCTCAGACCAGGAGAAGACTGCAACAGCATCTGTGAGTAAATCCAGTCTACTTCTCCCCCTTTATCTATGTTTTTCTCTCTTGTTCTTGACAAGAGCAGTAAGATGTTGGGCAAACCACTTTTGGTCTGTAAAAGGTAAGTCCTGCACAGGACTGTAAATTGGTCAGGTGAAAGAGATGGTGCTTACTGTCTTGATTCGTTTCTTACAAAATGGATTAAAGAAATATTTTTTTATTTTTAATTCTTTTTTTTCTTTAAGTCTTTCTTCCTTGTCTTCCAGATAAATAAAATTGTTTTCTGTGCCCTAGCCAATTTAAGGTATTCCTTATGGCTACATATGTACCAGAAAACAGAAAAAGGAAAGAGTCTTGAGGCCAAGTAGCAGAGCCTAACTGTATCCATGCCTAGTACTGAGTCTTTTTTGGACTTCATCTAGTGCCCCTATGGCGCTCAGACATACTTATGATTTTACATGTGACCTTTTTTCACTACAAAATGCTCAGTGTAACATAAGAATTGTGTTGCAGTCCATCAGAGTTGTGTTTTTATGGGGTGAGTCAGAGGGGGTTTAGAAAGGCCATTACCAGCATTTCTCTCATACTGGCATGGTCAGTCTATAAGGAGTCTTCCTTCCTTTCATGGATCATATTCTGAATTATTATTAACTATGCTAAGAAGCCCAACTAATGTCTGTGAAGCAATTTGAGACATTTGAAAGGAAGTTTAATGAATGTCTGGTACTATTATTAATTCTCATTCTTACTATGACACACTTCAGGTAATTCAAATGATCAGCCACATCAGATTGAAATCCCTGTGGTTTTGGAACATGCTTCAAGTTAAGGAAACTGTAACAAAAGATTTCCAATCACAAGAAGCGAAGGTCAAATGATCACAGGCATTTTCTGGTAGAATCCAGTGTGGAAAGGAGGGTCATGGCTCTTCAACTGCTGTTGACCAGAAGAGCAAAAGGGGCAAAGTGAAATAGCTTCTGAAGTTAATAAAATTCTGTTTCAGCACAGTAGAGGAAATTCAGCTAGCTATTACTCTTTTCTTTCAGGTAACTGTGAATGTTTTAGACGTAAATGATGAAGAACCAGTTTGTTCACCCAATTTCTATGCATCTCAAATCCCAGTCAGTTTATCAGCTGGGACCAATATAAATGGCTTCAGGATTCAATGTCAAGATCGCGATTCTGATCCCAGGTCTTTCCGTTACTTCATTAAAGAAGGTACTGTGTCATAACATGTGAGCTGGGAGCAGCACACAAATTCTTAAACACATGGTTCAGTTTTATTTGTAAATAGAAGTCTAGCACGGTTTAAGTGCTACTTCTCACGGAGAGTTAATTGTGATCCCCAAGTTTCACATGTCATTATTTTGCTGCTTACCAAAAGAGATGTTTCTATAAGTTGGCTATGGATGCTGCCACCTAGAATGATGCCCTTGCAAGTTTGGATTGCCTACCACATTAATTAATTGGCAACGGACTGCATAATTGAGAAGGACTTTAGTAGAATGAGCTAGAAAGATCTTCATGGTCAAATTTAACTTCCAATTATAGTTGAGTGAATCTTGAGAAACTGTGGTGGCTTTTGTTACTCTGCATACCTCACCCTTAGGTGATGATAATCAGATGATGGTAAGTAACTGAGCAAACCTGCATGTCCTAATTCCATGCCCTTTGCATTAAAACCACATTATAAAAATATATTAGGCTTGAACCTAATAATCAACTGCATCTGGAGAACTGTTACAGTATGGACTGACATTTGGCTTCATAAAGAAGGAAACACTCTCTCTTGGGGAAATTTCATTTGTTGTTGTTGCTGAGGTTATTGACACACGCTGCTGAAACTTTAAGTGTGGTTGCTGGCATGATTTTGGTCTGTGCCAAGCAGTACATTTCCAGAGAGATCCTGGGCATTGCTGAGGAACCCAGGACCTTGCCCAGTGCACTGTGTATGGGCCCTATGGAGTGAAGGCTCAAAGGTTTGCCTACACAGATGTGCTCTGTGCCTTGGAGACAGAGCCCGTGGTCGATTATATGTTGGATGGTGGACATGGCCTTCAATGTCACCTCAACTCTGGAGCTCTACAGGGCAACAAAAGCAAAACCAAAGTACATCTGGTGCTTTTACACCACACAGGTGTAAAATGATCCATAAAAACTCATCAACAGAAACTGCTCTTTTTGTTTGCTTCGTGCATTTATTTTAATGTGGGATTGTTTTTCACTTTTCTTCCTTTTTTTTTTTTTTTTTTTTGTCTTCATTTATTTATTTATTCACTGTTATCACTTGCAGGCAATGTGAACAATCATTTCACCTTTTCACCAAGTGCTGGCTCCAACACATCTCGGCTGATTCTTGCATCTAGGTTTGACTATGACAGCGGACTTGATAAAAGCTGGATTTACAGGCTGCGTGTCTATATAACAGATGACAATTTACTATCTGCCAGGGACAAAGCTACACACCTAGTTAAAACTGGTACAGTGTCCTTAAGCATCAGGGTTATCCCAAACCCAACAACTGCCATTACCACCACGGTAAGTTCACTCAAATTTATGCTCAATTCTGGAGTTCTTTTATGGGCTAATTGCCATGGGAATGAAGAAAAGAGGGTAGATGTATGCAAAAGGAAAGCAAAAACCAACAGTGGGTCTAGTTTTGGGAAGTGTTGAGCCTTGTGTTCTTACATTGAAGCCACTGGTTGTAGATATGCTCGGTGTCAGGAAAGATTCTTGGTAAAGATTTGTAACATCTGTTTTGTATTTTAGTTTCTAAAATGAAAAGGGTGAGTATCCAAGCACCAGGCACTCTGCCATTACCATGTAACTGGAAAGTTAAGGATTTTGGCAGCTTTATTAATAAGGAAAGTGTAGGGGTTAACCTTTGCCTGGAACCTTAAAATTACCTCATGCATTTTGCTCAGCCTCCTTTTTCTTTCATTTATTTATTTATTTTTGCTTTTCATTACTCCAGCGTCCTTGTACTTCTGTTTGCTTCTTTAGCAGTGGGATGAATTACTCAGTGCCTACCAAAGTCAAAATAGGCAACAACAATGACAACAAGAAATCGTTATCTTTTGCAAAGGCCATTTTTCCATTCCTTGGTCACCCTCGTGTAAAAGTTCAAGTTGCCTGTCAGGAACTGAAGCAGTTGTGAACATCCCGAGTTCTCAGCAGGTTTCAGACGGGCAAAGCCAGGTGGGTGGGATGGGTATTTCCAGAGCTCCCTGTCCACATGGTGGTCCATAGCTGAGCGGAGGAAGCCTGCAAAGCTTTTGGCAGACAGTCTGGGACCTGGCCTCGCACCCTGATCAGCCTGTGGAGCTGTGCACCTGCATCCCACTGACATAGCCAGCTCCTTGGCACATCCATGCCAGGCAAGCTCTGGCTCAATGGTTTTGCTCTGGAGCCAATTTCCCTCAGGGTGCTGCAGGACACAAGCAGAGCTTGTTTTCCTCCTGCCTGCTGGAGCAGCACAACCTGGTGGGTGCAGAGCAGCCTGCCTCCATCCTTGTGCTGATCGCTGCCTTCATCCCTTGTCTCATCATATCTTCATCATCCAAAGTCCATGCATTTTCTTCCTGCCTGCAGATGGCATTAGCCTTTCTCCATTGCATGCAGGAAGAAAAATATTAGGATATTGAAGGGGTAAAAGAGTTGTTTATTGTAAAACTGCCCAAATGTGCCAGGGTAGGCTAGTAACTGAGCCAGTCAGGGGATCTTCCAAACAGCACGTGCAAGTCCGGAAGCTTTGCTATGAAAGTGCTTAAATCCAGACTTGCAGACTGATTAATAACCCAATTATCATCTAATGCTCTGTTTGGAAGGAATAAATGGCTTTTTCACAGCCTTCTCCTCCCCCCTGCTTGATGAAGGAATGAAAAGTTAAGCTGAATAACGAGACTTATTCCGTGTTTTTTTTTTTTTTTTTTTTCCCATGCTTTACTACAACCACAGACAGTACAGACGACATACCTCAGTGTTAATCTGCCTGCCCAGAGATATCAGCCTCCCCTTTTCAGACTGTTTTCCAGAAGAGCACTTCCATTTCAGCACCTTCTCCCATCACTGCTCATTACCTGGGTTCAGTGTAGCAACCTGGGATGCTGTAATGCTGGTAGTGCACTGACAGGAAGCCCCGTTCCAAAAAGCCACTCGTGACTTCAGTCCCAAAGAGGATGGAGTGGTGGTGGTGATCTTAAGATTACTTTAGCCTTTGTGTAAGGATTTGATGTGCCCAGCACAACTGACTGGCAATGGACACTGACAGCTCTTCACTTTAAACGTCTCCTTTTAATAGTGACTGATATTACCCACTCCAGCTACCTGTCAATTTTTGCAAGGCTAAATAAGTTACTTCAAAGGTGTCCCGAGGTGGAAAACAAATAGATACCCTTACTGAACTTCATACACAATGTGATTATAAATGTCTTACAGAAAATTTAATAAAAACGTTGGTAGATGATTGAAATGAATAGAACCACACCATGTATTGACCCAGGTAGAGCAATCAAGTCATTTCTAATTCATATAAAGACAGTTTCATGACGGGACCCTAATGAATGAGCTGCTAGTGACCTGCCAGCTCAGAGCTGTGTCTCATGGCACACAGAAGATGTGGGAGATCACGACTGCTCAGGAAGTGTGGTTTTCCCTTCTGGAGCGAATCACAGGGAAAAAAAATAAGTTTCATTTATTTTATACAATAACCTAATTCCTCAGGGTTCAACTGCTTTTATGAAGGGGGCCGAATGATCGCTGCAGTGCAGATGACCTACTTCCAGTTTTGCCTTAGGTAACAAGAAGCCATTATCTCGGTAATGGCAGTATTCCCTGAACTTCCAAACCCTCCAACAGTGCACTCGCAGCTTCTCAGGCAATCTGAGGCTTTTCAACCCCACCATGGCACGCCTATTTTAATATCAGACATTGAAACACCATCTGGAACCAGCTTTTGCATTGTGGGTGGGCTCCGTTTCACCTGCCTTTGGTTGCCCAGGATCTCGGTGGCCTATCTCAGCCATCTGAGCTGCTTCGGCAGCCAGCAGAGAGGTACGTGGGGTGAATCACTTCTCCAGCAGACGCTATCTTCCTCTGCCGATCATCTGCAGAGCCCTGGGGCAAGCTTGGGCCAGGTGCCTGGGTGCAGAAGTTCAGCCAGATGAACGGTGCCGTCGGTGTCGGTAACCTGACAAGAATGCAGCGTTGAGAAACGTTTTCCTATCTTGTTTTAAAAGCCTGGCTTTACTCTGGTGACGAGGAAGGAAAATCTCTACTCCGACTCAGCGTGGTACGTGCCCTTCATCATCACCCTCGGCGGTCTGCTGCTCCTGGGACTGCTGGGGTACCTGGGGCTCCTGCTGGCCACGTGGCTCCGCACCCACTGCCCTCCGGCGCACAAGGCAGACGGCGCTCCTCTGTGAGTCCTCCCGGGTGTCATGCCAGGGAGCCCCTGGCACGGGCAGGGAGAGCTCAGCCTTTTCAGCCGTAACAAAATCTGTGCTTTGAATGCTTTATGGCGGTATGCCCTCTGCTGTAGTAAATGCAATTACGGGCTACAGCAATATTTGTTGTTAAGAAATGAAGGAAAAATGTCCATGGATTTTTTTTTTCTTCATGGATTTGCTAATACTTCAGCATTAGCTAAAGGTCACAGTGGAATTAACAGTCATGACCTCTAACAGCAGCTAAGCTTGTAAGGCCCTGTTGGAATCCGTGCCTGACTGTGCTGAGCAAAAACACAAATGTCCCCACTGCCCACTGCAAGGGCGCTGCCATCCAGGCAGATACCACTTGCATATTCCTCCCTCTCAGCCTAGGAGCTCTGAGATCTTTCCAAACGTTGGCGCTAACGCCAAATTCTGTGTTCTGGCAAAGCTTCTGCAGATTTCCTGCAGTGTTACCCAGGCCTGCTGCAAGGCTCTGGCCCATAAAGCCTCATGGAACCTCTAAGCACTCTTTTTTGGCAAAAGCCATGGAAGCACCTGGGAACAGCTCTGGTTCAGTGTGGGGAGACATTGCTGCTGGGAGTCCGAGTGCCTATAAACTGACATTGTCACAAAAGCAAAGATAAGCAGCTCTGTCAGCGGGCTGGGCTTTAAAAAGGATTTCTGTAAATATTCTCAGGATTTGAAGTTAAATTTAGAAATTGTAGAAAATGTAAAGAAGTAATATATGACTGTGATTATAATTCAAATGGTGTGTGCAAGGAGTTTAGCAATTCATGATAAAAATGACAAATGAATCTAGAAGCATATAGCTCGGCCATTGTTATTATTTATTAATAGGGCAAGTGATTCATTGGGAGCAGGCTCTTCCATTAAAAAGCAATTTTTATATTTTCAAATACCTTTACAATCTTTCAAATGTTTTAAAAAGTATTATCTGAGCACCGCAGATCAAAAAAATTGACCTTCCTCCAAGGATGGAACAAGATGAGAATGTCTGAAAATACATTTTTCCAGATTACATAAATCCATAATGCTATCATCAATAAGTCTGTATCTTTTTACTATCATCCCTTCCTGGAGATGTGCTAGCACAATGCTCAGGGCTGTTTTCCTGTTTGGGAGCAGTGTTAAATGATGCAGGCATTTAGTGAAAGGAAAGCATAAAACAAACAAATCAAGCAAATCTCAGAACTCAAGGAAACTCATCCTTCTTGCCAAGTGGAAGAGCATGAAGCATGATACTTTTATGTAGGCATAAGCATGACATTTGCTAACTGCACTTCTTAATCTTTTTTTTTTTTTTTTTCATTACAGGATAAATGCTCCAGGTGCGTACCTCTTTTCTATATTTTAATACCTCTCAACAACACTGTGTTTGCTGTTCTGTGTAAAATTTGTAAATCCATTTCTAGACAAATACATTTGGCCCAGTACAGACTTACTCTGATCAAACACCCTGGCTGATAATGGGATGCCAGCCCATGAGATGGTCCTTTTGGTCCTCAGATCTATTAACTACTAGGTAAACCCAAGTTTAGAGTAGCCTGCTATTCTGGCGTGGATGCTAAAAAATTACAGTATTTTTCACATGCATTTCATATGCTATCTGTTAAAAAAAATCTTATCGCTCCAAAGCACCTTCGAGAGTCCTCTCCACTGTAATTCCCTGTTCTCTGATCCCTTTCATTTGCTGCCCTGATTTCATCACATACTCCTGAAGATTTATATTCAAGTATTGGTGCTTGTAAAGGTGTTTGTATAACTTAGCAGAGGCGTAAGTTACATACACAAAGCCAGGTGTTCTTTAAGCAGTCTTCCTTCTAATCCCATTAGCATTCCCCTGACAAGCATGGCGTGCCTTTTCTCAATCAGTATTGCCCAGCTTGAAAAAGAAAACACCACAACAACACGTGACTAACAAACCCCAGCAAAACTAGCTGTTCTCTTGGTTGCCCAATCTGAGACTTTTCAGCATTGGCCAGCTTCCAAAAAATGGTTGCTTGGTGCTTTCTGAAAAACTGGTTCCCAAATGCTGGGCAGCAAAGGTCAGACAGAACAGGTTCCCATTGATGCTCAGGTTCAGGCCCATCTGCAACATTTCAGAGCATTGCAGGTCTGGCCATAAAGCCCATTGGTGGCTTCCTCTGAAGGAAGGACGTTAAACAAACCAGCAAGGAGTGAACAAGAAGAAATCATAGCAACTAGTTGGGTATCATCCACAAATCCATGCTGTCGAGATGCCTGTGGCACTGCCGCTGTGTTTGTTTGCATGTGGGATGAGTTAATAGTGTGGTAAATTCACACATAACCAAACTGTTCTTCAATCTGAATATGACTTGACTGGATCTGCAGCACTTCCCTGTTTTGTCTCCAAATGCATGTTTGAGTGCACAAGCTTAGTAAGTACAAACATTCTTGGGAAAAATCTACATTTGTAATTCAAATATCCCCCAAAGTGAAACTTGTTTGCTAGTAGATAGCCAGTCCAAGGCCCCTACAACACCCAGGTCCTCAAAACACGCCTTGAAGAGGTGGTATGTGGTGCACAGACCTGTGCTGGCTGGGTGCCTGGGTGGGGGCATCTCACCCCTGAAGAAGACTCTGGTTGTGCCAGTGTGCAGTGCAGTGGCATGCATAAAAGGAATTATTCACTGAGCAAATGTGTGAATAAGTTTCAATAATGAATACATTTGAATTTCTACATCTGTTCATAACATTTATGAAGGATGTTTTAAGAAACCATTGTTATTTATTCATGACTGAAGGAACAAGACTTTTCAAGGCTCAACTTTTAATTTGTCATTGGCAACTGTGAATCGCCACTCCAAACCATTATGAAGATGTTTGCCTTTCAAATAGTGTTAGGGATCACCCTTTGAAAAGAATTAAGACTCACTTAAGTTGTCTGAGAAGCTGAGAACTAAGAATCTCTATTTTTGGGGGAGAAACTTGACTTTAATATCTATAATCAATGTCCAAAAAAATCTGATTCTTTACAATGTGCATTTTCTTTCTTGTAGGAAAGAAGAAACCCAAGAAAGAAGTGGTTTTGGTGAGTACTGCCAGCCTCAGAGCAAAACAAAAGTTTAGTTTTGACCCCCATCATGTGGTATGATCATAGTTATTTCCACTGTAATAGATTATTATTATTATTATTATTATTATTACTATTACTATTACTATTACTATTATTATTATTTTAATTTTTCTCCCAGATACCACATCTAGGGGCTCCTTCCTTTTTCATAGCCATAATGGCATAAAGGCTGCAGTGTGCTCTCTCCCTCCCCAAGTTCTTTGGAGAGGGGATTCCCAAGCCTCCTCTGGGTGGAGGTGAAGCTCTTGTGGTTTACACACGTGGGGGTATTTTGCATGTTAGACCTTATTAATTCTCCTTTGAACATCTAGCAGCAACACCCTACACCACAAATGGCCTTTGTTGCCAGTTTTGATTAAACTCAGACTACAGGAATGCACTATACAGGTCATACAAATCCGCCTCCATCCATGTAGGTCAGCATTTCCAAGTCACTGCTTCTCCTTCTTGCTTAACTAATTCACAGGATTCGTTCCACGTTTTGTCTCCCTTCACAGAAAATGACAAGGCTAAACACTGTCTTTGATGGAGAAGCCAGAGACCCAGGTAATAAAAAGCAATTAACAGTGAATATGAATATTTGGCCGGAAACAAACTGGATTAGTTGACTTAAATATGGTTTGACATTTGCTTTTCGTATTTCAGATTTGCTGTTTCCAAGGAGAGCAGGAGCTATATTTCACAGATAGTGAAAATCAAGACAGTGCCCTAGTAACATTTCTAATGGTAGAATACACGCACATCCACCGGTCAGATTATTCACTGCTGCTCTGCTAACCCTGAGTGTGAGGAGCTGGTGCTAGGAGGTGAGAGACGAGGAGGAATTTGCTCCCAGCCTCCTGCCCTGTTGCTGTCACGGCTACGTGGTTTCACCTCCCCGTGCATGGGAAATGGCCAGCGGGTTAATGTAGCCGCAGGGGTGCTGAGTCTGTCTCCAAAACCTCTCTCTGGATGCAGGGTGGGTGGGTGAGCTACTGGCACCTGCACAAACCTCCTCCAGGCAGGAACAGCACATCGCTGCTATTTATCTGAGGCTTGAGCATCTCTTGCTGGGAAGGACAGAGAAGACCATTCTGCTTTCAGATACAGCTGTGGTGGCTGAGGGCCCACATGGAGAGGAAGGGTTGGTAGAATGTGGAAAACACTCGGTCAAAATAGGTCTTCAACAAATACGTCTGAAAATAGGTCTGAAACAATAGATCTCAAATTATCCAGGAAAAAAAAAAAAAAAAAAAAAAAAAGTTGGCCTTGTTTGAGGCTTGGATTCATCTAGCCAAATTTCCACCCAAGTGTTTGTACCTCGTGTTTCTTATTAGCTGTCTCTGGGCTCTTAGAGGCTGTGAGCTAATAGGAAACACTAGGCACAGGGACTTCAGTAGAATTTGGGTGAACAAACGGGCCCCTACTGTGCAATGAAGTTCATCCACAAGGCTGCCTGAGGATGGTTTGGGCCAAGTCCAAGCCCACCTGCTATTTATAAAGAGGTTCTGGAGGGACATCCAGAAGTCCCTGCTTTTTGCCTGTGTAACGGGCTTTGTTAGATGTTAAACGTGGATATTCTCTAGGCCACTGCAAGAGCTGGGCACCTGGCGGTTCCCTTCCTCAGCAGACCCAACCACACCAGGCTTATGGCCAGCTGAGCCCACCCAAACTGCCCCCCAGAGCCACAGCACCTGCGTTGTACATGCCATAGGCACTAAGATGTAACACGGCTTTGTGGGGTCAGGAGAGAATTGTGGGCTCCTCACTCCTCCCTCTCCCCTCCATGGCTTGTCCCAAACCATAGGGGATTGAGCGCTGGCAGTTCAGAGATGAAATCTGATAATTCCCAGCATATCATCTGTTGAATATGGTCAGGAGGGCTGGTCAGGGACTGCTGCCCGATCTGGGCTGCTTTAACATGCCTGCCTTGAAAAAATACCACGTGAAGGGATCCAGTTTCATCTCTAATTGCTCAAATTGTGTTCATGTGTCAGAAACCATTAATTCTGATACAAACTGTAACATGTAGTAACACGTAACCACCGTTTCTTTCCAGGCCTCAATAGTCTTGTTTGTCTCGTATTAATGGCGTTTAATTACAAGCAGTGCCACTGCAGATCCTGATTCTGTCTGTTTAGCAAGAGACAGTAACTCAGACCGTGAGGCAATCACGCCGGATGGATGGGCATTTTTCCACCTCTCTCTGGATAGTGAATGAACTGAGGGAGGAGAGATCTGCTTTTAGTGTCCAAGTAGAAATTACTCATAAAATCTGAAGAGGGCCAAAAATCTTTGTAGTAAGGAGAGGTAGCAACGTGTGCTAGACAAACAAAACTTAACAATATTTTGTGTATCTGAGGGAGGCATACCCATGCACAAACAGAAAGTGCATTTCATTTCACTGTACTCACAGCAGGCTGGGAGGAAATCAGTTTGTTAAAACAGTGACACAATGCGTACAGCTCAAACCCGTGGGGAATCCCAGATCTCTGAACCTCGTGTCACCCTAGATGACCTGACGTGGTCTGGAAGGCATACGCAGTGTATTGTGATCCTAGCAGGTTTTGCTATACCAAGTAAGCAACTCCTCTTGAAAAAATAGGCACACACATACACAGTGGCCTTTCCCAGCATAGCCACAGGCACGAATTTGGGGAGAGTAAGTCATAACAACTAAGGGCTATGTATGGGTTTGTTACACTGACCACAATAACCCACAGTAATTCGGATAGAGGGTTAGGATGATAACAAGGTCCTGTTTTGAATATTCCTATTCTCTGAAGCGCAGAGCCAGTTTTTGTATTAATGGAAAAGCATCCCCGCTGAGCAGCCTCCACAACTTCCAGGGCACCACACTTGCAGAAATGCAGATTTCAGGGCTGCCTTCCCAAACTCGTCTGGTTTTCCAGGTGTTTCATGTTTTCCTTTTCAGCCTCATCGTGAGGAGAGCTGTCATGTCGTAATCTGCTAAAGTGCTCATGATTTTAACTCCTTGTCTTTTCTCCCTTGCAAGTCACTGGCAAAATCTATGAATTCAATACCTGGTCGGGGGCCCGGAGGTGGAAGAAGAGCAGTGAGCCCCTTCAGCCCACTCTGGCCATGCAGGTAACATCAGGTGCCAAGCAGTGGTGGCCAAGCAACAGCGGTGGCCAAGACACAGGCAGAGCAGAGGCACCAAGCAAAAAAGAGACTTCAGAGAAGAGGAAAGAGCCAACCACAGAGACAAAGAAAGAACCAACCACAGCTGCCAAGCCCTCAGCAGGGCCATCACAAACACCAGGCCAGGATGGGGTGAAAGTACAAAAGCAGAAATAGGAATCTGCAGACAGGGGGTTACCCACACCAGCCCCCAAAGGCAGATGCTGACCTCTTCTCCACAATGAATGCTGCATTTTTGTTACACCAGCCTGAAAGCTCTTTATCTATCTCAGCTGCAAAACATTGGGTGGCCACTGCTGTGGGCTCAAAGGCAGGATGAAGCTGGACTTATTTTGGCATGTGCTGGTAAGACTGGGAGAGATGGGAAGGTGCAGTGACAATCAGGGCAATGATCATGGTCTAGGAGCTAGGGGAAATGCAAACCTTGCTTCTCCAAGTGCAAAAACAGACCCTGGTTGTTGCAGAGGAGTTGCTTACTTCTTGAGAAGGGGTGGACATGAAAGGGCAAGAAGAAAAAATGAAAGCACTGTCATGGACAGAAGCATCTGCTGCTCCCTGGGCTGTAGCTGCTGGCAGCTCCCTCCTGGATGAGCTCTCTGCCCCCAGGCCACCATGGCCAGGTGCTCTTCAGGGCAGGCAGCACACACATGGACCTGCTGAATGGGGCCAGGAGCACAGCTGCATCGAGTGTGAGGCTGGATTGCTTCTCCTGTCCCTGCTGAGTCTGAACAGCAGAAGGGGTGAAAAGCAGATTAGAGTTGAAAAGTTTGCTGGTAACAGCTAAAAATATTTTCTTTTCATTCAGTATTTTATTTCATCCCTTCCTCCCCATCCTGTCTTGCTGTAGGAAAGAACAGAGCTTGAAAGCAGTTTTGGAGTGGAGACAACCCACAACCTGTCATGGTATCTCAGGCTGTCATGTCAACATTTTTAGCTTATTTATCTTTTGTAACACTAGTGGCATTCAATATCTTCACCTTTGGTATTTCCTCTGGCATATTCAGAGTTTTACAGAATCAAGTGGAACACACTCAAAAGAATAATTACAGCAAACACATGTGGTGAAATAATCTTTTCCAAGTGTGATCATGTATAATGTAAGTGCTGTCTAAAAACCTGATATAAAACAAGCAAACTCTGCAAGATTTCAGAAAATTATTTTAATTGTAAGAAAATTAATTATAAATGATGACTTAATACTCAGTGTCTTGGATTCTTTTCTTTTCTGATGAGAAAAAGGTGTTTTGGCAACAAGGGACTGATCTCAGCTAGGTGGTAAAAGACAATTTTTGGTTTAAATTTAGCAGGGACAGTAAGTTAAGATTCTGTCACGCATATTGTTTTTTGTCATACAACAGAGGACCTGGGTGGGGAGGCCCAGGGTAATTTCACTGAGGATCCTACGCTTCACAAAACCACCCTTCACAGTGCTGCAACCCTTGTCTGCACCCTGAAGGAGTGGTTTGGCTCGGGAACAGCTTTTCTTACAAGCACCAAACATCTTGAGTCAAATGACATTTCATTGCGCAATCAGAAACCCAGCGTGTCATGAGCACAATGATAGAGATAGGAAAGAGTGATTTATGGTCTCTGAACACGTTATCAGTTTGCTGTGGCTGTGGTGGTTGTTATAGCGCTGTTTGACCTTCCAGCACCAACAGGGCTTGTCACATTTTCAGAGCTCCAACCCACCATTGTGTGTGTTCATTTGCTGTAAGCCACAGAATCGCAGAATCGTGGAATGGCTGAGGTTGGGAGGGACCTCTGGAGATCATCTGGTCCAGCCTCCCCCGCAGCATATTACCCAGGGCTGTGTCCAGATGGCTTTTGAACAACTCTGGGGAAGGAGACTCCCCAACCTCTCTGGGAAACCTGTGCCAGTGATCAGTCACCCTCACAGTAAGGAAATTTTTCCTCATGTTCAGAACAAACTTCCCGTGTTTGTGCCTGTTGCCTCTCATCCTATTGCTAGGCATCACTGAGAAGAGTCTGGCCCCGTCCTTTTGACCCCCTCCCCTCACATACTTATACAGATTGATCAGAATCCCCCTGAGCCTTCTCCTCTTTGGGCTGAAGAGGCCCAGCTCCCTCAGCCTTTCCTCATGTGAGGGATGCTCCAGTCCATTCACCGCTTTGGTAGCCCTTCTCTGGACTCCCTCCAGGAGCTCCATGTCCCTCTTGTACTGGGGAGCCCAGAGCTGGACATAATGTTCTAGGTGAGGCCTCACCAGGGCTGAGGAGAGGGGAAGGATCACCTCCCTTGACCTTCTGGCAGTGCTCTTCCTAATGCACCCCAGGACACCATTGGCCTTCTTGGCCACAAGGGCACGTTATGGTTGCACCAGACAATCTTGGAGGTCTTTCCCAACCTTACTGATTCTATGATTGTGCATTTGCTGGCTCATGGTCAACTTGTTGTCCCCCAGGACCCCCAGGTCTTTCTTCACAGCTGTAGGCATTTCCTTGGCTGCATGCACTTGCTGGAGGAATTTCCATGAAGCATCTCAGGTCACTACAACTCTCCCCTTGCTTCATCTCTCCTGGTTTAAAGCTCTCCTCACCATGCTGATAAGGACAAAAGTCTTTGTCCTCAGTTCTGCAGTAGCTGGTAGCTCTGCTGTAACTCTGATCTCTTTGTCACTGCGACATAAAGGTACCCACAGGCACAGCTGGCACCTAGATCTTCGTTACCTGAAGAAGTTAACTGCATTGTTCTCATATTTTTTTAAAGTTTATTTTCCTGGCTTTTCTCTAGGGAAGCTAGATGAAATCCCCCTCAATTTCTCTCATTCCACTTCTGTGATTAGGAGATAATTACCCCTTTTTAAAGAGGAGGCAGAAACAGGCTGTCGTTTCAGCCAGGAAACTTGGAAGGAGATGGACAAAAACTCATCTTTGTTTACTGCTGTTCCTGCTGCTGAACTACGCAAACTTCCTTCCTTCCTTCCTTCTCAGGAAAAAAAAAAAAAAAAAAAAAAAAGCCAACAACAGCGTAACATGGTGCCACAGCATGCTGTGAACATTCGTGTAAGCAAACTCATGGTCACGGCCAACGCTGCTGGTGCCGCAGTCTCCCACAGCTGGCCAACATCTGGGTGAGAAGCAGATACCCTGGTGGGGGTGCTCGCATACTCTAGCTTCTGAGCAACAGACAGCTCTATGAAGAGGCAGCGCTGATCTGTGAGCTGCCAGATCTAAGAGCTAGAACTGCCCAGGATGCCTCCATCCAGCGGAGGTGAGCCTGGCTGGTGCATTCAGACTTTTGGGCAACAGGTTCCTTAAAAATACGTCCCCTCGCAAATTCCACACAATTTGCTGTATGGGGCAACAATGTGCTGACCCTATTACATGCTTCCTGACTCACAATTAGTTCAATAGGTGCGGTGCTGACCTTCAGCTTTGTCTAATTCTTCATCCTGATCTTCATCTTACTTTGGCCACGCCAAAACTACTTCCAGGTACTCCTTGCTCAGAATCTACGAAATCAAAGAACATGGCTTTATTTGAGCATCAGCTTGATGGAAAAGCAGCACAATATCAGCTGCCCCTACTGCTATTGACTTTTTTTTCCCACTGAAGGAATCAAGAACAGCCTCACATCTCACCAAGCTGAAGCCCAGCAATTCATTTTAGTCTCTTTTGTAGAGCAAAAGCAGCGAAGATAGTACTGACTGGCCTAGATGTACACTTATTATTTGTATGAATATGTGAAAGATACTGAGCTCTGCAGTACAGCTTTAAATATTAGAAACCTCATCTTATTGTTAAACCAGCTTTTGTTCTTTTTTTCATTCAGAAGTGTCTTTGAGAACACAGATTCAGTGTTGAAAACTGCCACTAGATGGACTGGGAGCAAGGATTACAGTAGGCTCTAAACAATAAAAGCATTTAATTATTGGAACAATTAGATAAGACCGTGGGACTTTTCCATCATTTGAAGACTTCAGAAGTCAAAACCAGCTTCTGTGTGCTGGAGAAGGCCAGACTAGATGATGTGAACAGCTTCTCTAGTCTTCAATAACTCTACTAGTCTCTGTGCATATAGTTTACAAGGTGTGAATTTCAGTGCCACGTATTTTATAGTGATGGCACTGATGAGCTGAGACTCTTAAGAGAAAGAAAGGTGTCTGACGGTTCAAGCAGGGTGGCTGAGGGCACCAGTTCCTGACCTCCAGCTGCTTGTCACACATCACACATTAATTTTATCCAAAGTTTACACAAAGCAGTGTGAGTTCTGTGGCAGTGTTTGATTGTTGTGTCTCCACACGGTAGCTTTGTATTAAAGTTGCTACGGAAGTTTCAAGAGGGATTACGAAAGAGCACAGGTCACTCTTCCTCACTGGGCCTAGTTCCCCCCTGCAGTTTGTGTGAACATATTGCTGTGGTTTTGGTTCTTTTCTCCAAAGCAAATACACTTCTACTGCATAAATGCTCTGCTTTCATGTTGCTAGCAATACCAATTAGCACCTGCAGTAAACATCATAAGTCTCAGCTTCTGGCCATGTAACTTCATTTTTATCACGGAATAAAAAAGTGCTGATACTGTATTTGTTCAGGGACCTACACAGGAGAACAGTTTCAGCTGCAGAGATGGAGAATGTCTGCCCAGGCAGCTGCCACTCCGTGACTGCTCGCTAGGAGCAGATGGGGCTGGGACCCCCTCAGACAAGGTGGTGGTCAGGCAGGGGGGACAATCCTCCTCTTGAGCAAAGTATCTAGCTGCTGATGAGACCCAGATTGCAACACCATAATGGAAATACGCAAGCGACCACAACTGCACACTGCACGTGTCCCAGGTCTGCTGTGTTTATCGCTAGCCTGAGATCTGCAAGCAGAGCAGGCCCTTTGCAAGGCTCCAGCTGAGAGGTGCCAGCATCTGGGACGTGCTTGATCTGAGCTAGTTGCTGCAAGCTCCCCGTGTAGTCACCGGGGAGACAAAGGCACTTTGGGGGTTATTTATCTCATTGCAAATCAGTCGTCTGTCTGGAATCGATCAGATGAGCTGCACCCTAAGAGCAGCTCTCTCTGGCTGCCTCGATCAGATACCGATGCCTCCACGCCAGACACACCAAGGCAGATCAGCAGCGCCTCAGCCCAGGGTGCTCAGATGGGGCGGGTCTGTGCTGCTGCACCCGGGCCTGAGGAAGCTGCAGATCAGCAGCAAGCAGCGCGTGGAGGCCAGCTCGGCTCTGCTGCTGCTTGCTCAGATCCCAGGAGGAGAACAGGCACCTCTGCCGGTGCTCTGTGGTCTGCAGGCTGCTTCCTGGGACCTGCCTTTGGGGTCATTCTGCGTCTGGAAGATGTGAGATGTGCTTCTGAGCAGCCAGGTAGAAGAGCACGGGCCTGGCCAGGGGATCAAAGATGACAAACACGAGCCTCAGTGAGTGTCTGGCTGTTATTCAAGGATGCCATCGTGTTGCAGCTCTCTGGTACCAAACTCGGCCCAGTCTTGCAGTTGCGTCTTATCTCCAGTTCCACCCCATGGTTACTGGTGGGGGATATTCCAACAGGGCAGCAGGGCTGTGTTTGTGCAGGATCTGCCTGTCTCAGCCCTGCCTGGGCATCCAGCACCCCAAAGCACCCCATGGCACCCCGCAGCACCCTGCGGCACCCCATGGCACCCCATGATATCCGATGGCCTTGCCAGAGGGACTCTGTGTACCCAGGTGAAAATGAGCTGACACACCAACACCCCAGCTTGTGAAGGCTGTTCCAGGGAGCTGGGGAGGTCCCAGTACCCCCAGTACCCCCAGTGCCAGCCTGATTTTCGTGCTCCCACAGCATCGCTGTGACCGGTGCGGGACCAGGCCCCAAGCACCCACAACACCCCAAAACACACCGCTGGAGAGCGGGCTCCATCCCTCCCCTTCCCCTTAGGCTTTCCCCAATATTTCTTCCTGCTGCAGCCTGGCACCACTCCTGATCCCCCAGGAACCTCCTCCCCGTGGCTTTTTGCCCAGGGGCTGCTGTCTGGAGCCCGTGCCCGACCCTGACCCAGGGCCGGGGAGCGCAGCTTGAGCGGAGCAACACTGACCCCCAGCGGCTCGGCAGCCTGCGGGGCTGGCAACAGGGCCACGACGCAGGGAATTGTCCCTTTAATGTATTTATTTGAGTATATATTTCTATATATATCCGCACACAGATATATACACACATAGCAGGTGTGTGCGGTGCAGCACCGATGCCAAAGGGCTGCCAG